TTTAGAATGCATTGACCTATGATGATGTGCATATCAACTTCACTTGGGAAGAGTGGACTTTGCTGGATCCTTTTCAGAAGAATCTCAACAAAGATATGATGATTGAGACCTTCAGAAACCTCACTATTATAGGTAAGCTAGTGTATTTTTTCTTCACATTTTAAAATAAGGGGACAACTGTTTCTTGGTTTTGGATATTTTGGATGTAATTTGATTGAGAAAGAAGAGTGAGGTGAATAAATCAGGCATGTTTCTAAGATTCACTGAAGATAGTAACATAAATTTTACAATGTTTTCAATGATATAAATTTCCTGGTACTCTATTTTAGGATACAGTTGGGAAAATCATAATATTGAAACACATTTTCAAATTCTAGAAGACATGTAAGGTAATTTTCCTGTGCAAGCTGATAAATATATGCCCGTGAAGAAAGTATATTATGTCCTAGAAATTTTAAACAAAAGCAGCAGTGTAAATAAGTACCACTTAAAGTGCATTGATGATTATTAAATTTTCACAAAAACATATACCTCAATTTCAAGTTGGTGAATTGCATTTGCAAGGCATTCTTTTAAGATCAATGTCAAAGAAGCAATTTCTCAAAAGGCTTCACCATTACAATCATAACACCATGAGAACTATGCTGTAGAACTGTCAGTCTTTTTATTTCATAACATTCCTATTACAAAGGTTGCACAGTGAAGAGGTGATGAGTATATTGTCAAAGCTTTCTATTGAGCAAATAGTCCATTGTAAAGATAGTGTATCTCATATACTTGTGACTGCTGTTTAGTGATTGGCCCGTTAGAATCAAAAGTCAAGGGATGTTGTTGAGGAGAAACTTACATCCCTATACCACGAGTCTATGAGGACAGAAAGTCAAACAGAATTCAATGTGGAAATCCATTATCTGTTAATCTTCCTTTACTAGCTATATCATCTGTCCTTCTGGAAACAAGCCATATGAGCATAGCGATATGAAAGATATAATATCCCTCATTCTTATGAAATTAGAAGATATGTAGCAGTCTCCAAATTAAGTATACTTGTTGAATTTGATTCAAGTATGCAAGTAATTGATTTTCTATCTTCATTGTTAATATATTAACAAACTCACACTACAGAGAAGCCTGATGAGTACTAGGACTGCTTAAATAAAACATGGATGTAAAAACATTAATGAAATCTTCAGAACTGATTCCTCTTTAAAATTAGACCAAATTGTAAATTTAATCCATACAGATATAAAGAGTCAACAGTATAATGATGATGGTAAAGACTTTACATGTGCTTGCAGGCATGAAAGAAGTCAAACTGGAGAGAAGAAACCTTTCATATATACTAAATGTCATAAAATCATTGTATATGAGTGTCATCTTCAAAGGCATGAAAGTGCACCTATGGGACAGAAACGCTTTCAATGTAATCAGTGTGTTAAAGCTTTTGCCAAACACAGTACTCTTCAAATACATAAAAGAGCCCATACTGGAGAGAAATTGTATGAATTAATCAATGTGGTAAAGCCTTTGCCTATCACTAAACTCTTCAAATGCATGAAAGAACACATACTGCACATCAATCCTATGAATGTAATCAATGTGGTAAAGCCTTATGTATTTGAAGATGTTTGTACATCACAAACATCTTCAAATACATAAAAGAAGTCATACTGGAGAGAAACCCTATGAATATAATCAGTGTGGTAAAGCCTTTGAACAATATGATCATTTTCAAAGTCATAAAAGAACACATACAGCATAGAAATCCTATGAATGTAAGGAATGTGGTAAAGCCTTTGCACGATTTAGTCATCGTCAAAGGCATAAAAGAAAACATACTGGAGAGAAACCCTATAAATGTAATCAGTGTGGTAAAGCCTTTGTACAATATGGTCATCTTCGGTGTTATAAAAAAACACATAGTGGAGAGAAACCCTATGAATGTAATCAATGTGGTAAAGCCTTTGCACAACACGGTCATCTTCAAGTACATAAAAGACCACATACAGAAGAGAAACCCTATGAATGTAATCAATATGGTAAAGTCTTTGCACATCACCAAACTCTTCAAATGCATAGAAGAATACATACTAGAGATAAGCTCTGTGAATGTAGTCAACGTGGTAAATTATATGCTCATCACAGTACTCTTCAAATGCAGAAAAGAAGACATGCTGGAGCAAAAGCCTATGACCATAATTAACGTGGTAAAGTTTTTCGTCATGACAGTCCTCTTCAAATGCTTGAAAGATCACACACTAGATGCAAATCCCTTGAATTTAATCAATGTTGTGAGGACTTTCTTCAAACATAGTACTCTTGAAATGCATGAAACAACACCTACTCGAGAGAAATCCTATGAATGTAATCTGTGTGATAAAGCCTTTGTAGATATCAGTAGTTTTTGAAATCATTAGAAAAAATCATACTGCAGAGAAACCCTACAAATATAGTCAGTGTCATACAGTTTTGCTCTTTATACACGAATAACCCTTTTTCTGTGCAGCCAATCTCTTAAAGCCTTTGAATATTACAATAGACTTTTGAGTACCTGCAAAAAGTACTGAGGGTGCCAGGCGGCGGTGGTGCATGCCTTTAATCCCAGCACTTGGGAGGCAGAGGCAGGCGGATCTCTGTGAGTTCGAGGCCAGCCTGGGCTACCAAGTGAGTTCCAGGAAAGGCATAAAGCTACACAGAGAAACCCTGTCGCGAAAAAGAAAAAAAAAACTTCTGAGGGCTTAATATTATAAAGTATTTGGCAAGATTCTTATCTAAAACGCTTGAATTCATTTACCCAATGGTGATCTTTCTGTAAAAAACAATTTCACAGTGTCAGCAATCTGTTCATTCATCATGATGTCCATTTTTACAATGTTTGCCCCTGTAAAACCATGGAATAAATGAATTTAGTAGTTTATAAAGCCCTCTGTGTAGGGTAAAATTCAGCCAAAGAAACACCTGGAAACTAAAACCAGAGCCAGTGAAAAACTTTTAAGTTGGCACTGAAACCAGAACTAAAGAAATACACTGTACCTCTGACCATGTGATGACAACATCATCCAATCCATAAGCAGAAAATCAAACCAATCCCTGAGCACAAAACCAACCAATCACTCTACATGAAAGCCTCCCAATCTCTGAGCTTGAGTTTGAAATCCAACCAATACCTATCCTCAATCTTTTCACTGGAAATCTCCATCACTATGAAGCTCCGTAGAAGCCCTGTGTCTGTTCAGCTGGCAGCTGCCCCCTTTCACACTGACACAGGCAACCACTATTCTGGATTCCTCTCCCCTATATATATCTCTTGATTTAGATTTGGGTGAAGATGTTCTTTTGCCAGAGGAGAGCAGAATCTCTGCAGGGAAACTTGCTAGGGCAGTGGAACAGAGAAATAATGGACACCTCTCCTGGGAAATTCTCATAAGGGAGTGGAGCAGAGCAGCAAAGGACATCTCTGCTGGAAATCTCTCTTAGCTGAGTGTAGCACAGCTAAGCTGTAATGTCTCTTTTTTTGGAGAGGAGCAGTTTTGTCACATCCTTCAAGTAAACCACCACACACTGGGACAAACTTTCAGGACTAGCCTAACTTTCTAATAGCCATTATTCTTATTTTCTCACAGATTTAGGTATCGAGCTTCCTTGCACTGCTTTTTTTTTTTTTGAGCTGTAGGTATCCTGGAAACCCTTACTCCATAGCTCCAGGTAGAGCCTGAAACCCCAACAGCCAGGATATCTTTCTCTTCTCAATTGTATATAAGCAGGACACCTTCCACCACCCAACTAGAGGTGTAGCCTAAATTTTGATACTCAGGGAATTTTTCCTTTCAGAGCAAAACACATCCACTATGAATTTAAATAACAATGTAGTATTTTTAGATTTTATACTTTTCTTTAATTATATAAAAAAACTAATTCAAACATTATAGATTTTTATTAGTTCCTTCTCTGTTCCTTTTATATAATGTGTATGTCAACTAATAATGAGTTTTATTTGGCCCCAGAGGGACACAGGATCACCATGTAAATGGGATGGCAACAAATATCAGACATGGCAACTAAATCGGGAGCTCACATCCTTAGCCTGAAACTCTAAGCATAGCGTGGGAAATGAAAATGATGTGTGGATATAATTTATGAAAGCCTACCCCTAGTGACATATTTCTTCAGCAGAACAGCATTTCCTAAACCTTCACAAATTATACTGCTAACAGAAAAGGATTTCTCTGATTTCAAGCACACATGCTTGTTTTCTGTTATATGAACCAATTCACAATGTAGAAATCTCTGTAAACCTTTAAATGTCTCCATACCTGTGTTATAGGAATGCATCGTTACAAATGAAAAGTTTCATCAGTGAAAATTGTTTTTTAAAGAGTTGTTTTAATTTTAATTATGTGACGTCAGTACATGTTTTTGGGGTATGTGAATTTTTATGCCAGTTTCTGAAAATGTTAGGCTCTTGAATCTTCTTGCAGCAAGAACTAAAGGAAGTTGTCAAAATCAAGTCTTATTCCTGGGAATGAACTTTCCTTAACTGCCCAACCATGTCTCGAGCCATGAAAATATTTTAAAACCTATTAATATCATGTTAAAATCAGGAAATAAAGACAAACTTGTACACAAGAAAAATTTTATTCACATAAACAACTTGGTACAGATTTTAGACTTCACAATTGTCTTCAGCTTAAAGAAAAAGATCTTACTTCATTTTCTTTTCATCATAGTCTTGAAGGAAGTAAATTAGTTACTATGTTTGGTCAAGATTGATGGGCGAGATCAATGCATTTCCATTTCTATTTTGAAACATTTGAGGTAGATACCAGAGTGTGCTATATGAGTGGCAAATTCATTTAGTTAAATTTACTTTTGTGGTTTTCATATTCCTTCTGTGGTTTTTGTTCATCTTCCATTGTGTTTTTACTTAGTGATATGTATTTTTCTGTTGTAATACATAAAATGGGAATCCAGTCATCTTAGTAGTCTATTGTTTATTTAAATATCAGGCAGTGTATGATCATACTTTCTAAGTGAGTGTCTGTGAAAGGGTGGTGTGTTGTGGTGTTTGGTTTTGATTTCATGTTTTCACAAATTCCCTTGAGATTTTGTTGTTGATATTAAGCTTGGCATTGATTTCAGTAATGATTCAAGAATACATTTGAACTCATGTTCCTCATTTTTCTACCTCCAGAGTAGTCCAAGTGTAGATAATCTACTTGCAACGTGTGCTGTTTTGTAAGACAATGATGTTAATTTTAAAATGCTTAATGCATAAGAATATAAGAAACATTAAACACATTATGTGTGTATTCAAAGCCATATTTTAATGTATCTGGTAGAAATGTAATAAAGTACAATAATCAGCAATCAGTTGTTTATCTTACATCATCAATGCAGAGCTGTTGTGAGCAGCTTGAGGGGTCCAGGATACCTCACCCTCCAGGGGTGAACTGTCCCCTTGCAATTCCAGCCATCAGAGCTGCGCTAAACAGCTCCAGGTGTCCAGGACACCTTCAGGGCAGAGCTGCTCTTCTGAGAAGCTCGAGATGTGTGGGATACCCTGTGCTCCAGGCAATTTTTGGCAAAATTCTATTAATGAACAAAGACCAAAATTAACGATAAAAATAAATAGTGTTTTGTTGTCGGGTCTGGTAGACACAGGTGCGGACGTTACTATAATTACACCAGAATTTTGGCATCCAACTTGGCCTCTTCAGGAGGTAAACGTTCAACTGTTAGGAATTGGGACATTGTCTCAGGTGAAACACAGTGCAAAATGGCTCTAATGTATAGGTCCAGAAGGACAGAGAGGAAAATTAAAACCATATGTGTCTAACATAACTATGAACCTGTGAGGTCGAGACTTGTTGCAACAATGAAATACTCAGATTAACATCCCTCCAATCTCAGAAACAAATCATAAACTAGCACATGTTACTGAGAGAAATATTAGAAGATATTGTTCTAATGAGTGATCACCAGCCATCCATATTATACAAGAACAGGGCACAATAACTGATGATCTT